CCACCCATGGAACACCGGAATGCTCAGATTTAATAGATAGTTGATAGCTTCTACGTCTTTGTTCTACGGCTTAGATCCTCTTACTGGGGATAAATCCTCTATTAAAGGGATATCCCATGAGATTAAAAACTTTAAGCCTTTAAGGCAGTTACTCACTTAAAGGTGCTAGGCTTTGGGAAATTAGCAGCCCCAGCTAGTTTTATTCAAACTGTGTGTTTATAATCTTACATGTAATGATGTGTAACGATCTAACAGTGAATTATAACTGTAAGGGGAATAAAGCAACTTCAAAATAACTGGAATGGTGTTATTTAGTGCAAAATGAGAAAACACAAAAACAAATAAAAGTAAATCAGTTAATTCCTCTCAAAACATTTAAAAACACTGTCACAGTTCACACCATAAACTACTAACAAGTTTTAGATCTGCGCAGAGTGGGTTCGAATCCCGGGTAGCCCCGATTATGTAAATCTTGCACCATGACCGTGGAATATATTTATTTTATGAAAAAAAAAAAATCTAGAAACGCCTACAAAAGCAAGTCTAGCCAGCTCTAGCTAGCTCTATGAAATCAGCAAGGGAATTTATTTTTATTTTTAGATTCAAGAAGGATATTGTGTAATATAAGATTTCAGAGACTAAATGTTAGTCTACGATTATGTTTTTATAAGTTTGTCAGCACCATACCCGTGCTCGTGGGATTCACCAACGTGGTAAACGTCTCAGACCTGCATCACTTCGGGCTTTCCTCCCACATTAAGCTGACACGCCGCGATATAACTGGAATACAGTTAAGGGCGGCGTTAAACCCAACTCATTCTCTCACTACACTTGGAACCCGATCGAGGAGAAAAGTCCATTTGAAGTATCAGAAGAAGGAATCGTGTTTGGAATTAAAAGTGACGACACCCTTTCCATAATCATAAGAACTATCTCCTAAAAGCAGATTCGGTTGTATAATTCCGGCCATATCGTGTGTATATTCATCACTATCAGTGTTCGCGTGAACACCTTAACAGTGAGGTGAGGTGAAATGGATTTAACATCGCGTTCTTGATTTTTGCACTTATATAGCGACGTGCATACACACGTGTGTGTGTGTGTGTGTGTGTGTGTGTGTGTGTGTGTGTGTGTGTGTGTGTGTGTGTGTGTGTGTGTGTGTGTGTGTGTGCGCGCGCGCGCTTGTACTTGTCAGGAAAAAGGCCGATTTTCTAGAGATACCATGCCGCAGTTTTACATGAATACCCAAATCAGACACAGTTCACTGACGCCGGGCCGTCCAGTCCTTGTTTTATCCCTTTAATGCCGAAAGCCAGACAGGGTAACAACAAGTACCATCTTTTAACGTCTTTTGGTATGACGCAGCCGGGGATCGAACCCCCCACCTTATGCTCTTCAGTCAGACGCTCTACCACTAGACCACCGAGGCGGTTTCACCTTAACAAACACCAGGACATATGGTACAAGTCAAAATACGGAAATGCATCGGATATCGGATATCAACCATTTTGGTATGTCAGCTGTGTGTTAAACTACATCTGCTGATGTCAAACGCATTCAGAGAAATAGTGTATGTGGTCCACTATATATGCTTCTGAAAAGAATAATGTGAAATAAACGGGTGGTCCTTAACTTCTTTTGAGTAGTATATAACTTATACGTTATTTCGAAATATATTCTAATATGAAACACGTGTAGTCGTTTGTTGAACGTTGTTTATACAAGTAACCGATCGTTGCCTGTATCATCAATTTTACACACCAGTATGCCAAAGGTCATAATTAATAAAACATTCGTCACAAATGATAGAATGGGTTAGAAAAACACAGTGTTAATACGTTTATTCACATAGCTCGTTGCTCCCGAAAATTTCATTATTCCGAGCTTGAGATTTGAGGCGTTCTTAAAGTGCCCATTCGAACAATCCCTAAATCTAGATAAATGTTATCTGTCTTGAGATTTAAATGTCATTTAGTGTGCGAAATAGCGTTCTCTACAAGTGGGATTAACTCCAGATAACCCTATCAACAGAGGGGGTCTGAGGCAGTACCCTGTCGCACCCCTGATAACGTTATCAAACGTAACGGTTGTGTTAAACACTTCACGTGTCACTTACAAGTAGTGTCACATTTTCAAACACTACATAGACGTAATCATTCTGAGATACTGAGTTGCGACTCAAGTTTGAAATATAAACAGCGGATATTGAAAACAATCATTTACATCTGATGACGTTTATATTCGGGAGATATTTATCGGATTTGAGGGTGACAGATTGTAAAATAAATAAAGAAGTTGTCGTCCACAACAATACTCATTGTAATGTAATCCAGACTATTTTTTGCTATTTTTAATAAAGAAGTTGTTATCAATAATAATACTCATTGTCATGTAAACCAGATTATTGTTTTCTTTATATAATAAAGAAGTTGCATTGTTATCCAAAATAAAACTCATTGTTATGTAAACCAGGCTTATTTTCTTGATATAATAAAGGGGTTGTTATCCATAATAATACTCCTTGTCATGTAAACCAGACTAATTTTCTTGATATAATAAAGAGGTTGCTATCCAAAATAATACTCATTGTCATGTAAACCAGAATATTTTTTCTTGATATAATAAAGAGGTTGTTATCCAAAATAATACTGATTGTCATGTAACCCAGACTAATTTTCTTGATATAATAAAGAGGTTGCTATCCATAATAATACTCATTCTACCATGAATTTGGAATTTACTCGATTCTGATTGGTCAATCAGAGGCTATTAAATCACAATAAACCCCCTCTGATTGAAACAGTTGGTTTGACGACCGAATCACCGCGGAAGCTAATATTCATAGAATAGTACTATTTTCAGTCAGTGTCGGTAGGCATATTTAAATAATTATATCTGTAATTACAGGTTACAAAATGCACAGACGCGGTTACTACAATATTCAAAGGATGTGTGGCAATACATTTCGTGCAGAAAACACGATAGAAATCTACACAGGGAATGATTTTACGTTTTGGAGACACAGAGAGCTTGGGATTTTGGCGCTTTTCTATATACGACTGTGACGTCATTTCTTTCGCGTCACAACCGCGCTAAATTTAACATTTGAAACCTCACGCTGCGCGTTCGGTTCCAAATTCAATTTAGCGGGGTTAAATCTACAGGTAACCTAGCTCTACATTGAAAACACAGTATGTTTATCTCCTAATTGTTATGTAAACCAGACTAATTTTCTTGATATAATAAAGAGGTTGCTATCCAAAATAATACTCATTGTCATGTAACTCAGACTAATTTTCTTGATATAATAAAGAGGTTGTTATCCACAATGATACTCATTGTCATTAAAAATAGACTATTTTTTCTTAATGGTATAATAAAGAAGTTGTTATCCATAATACCCACTGTCATATAAACCAAACTATTGATTCTTTATAATATTATATGGTAAAGGAGTTGTTATACATAAAACTCATTGTGTTTACATACAGCTTGTCAATGCCTGATAGTATACAGGCTCTGGCTCGGTATAGACAGTTACGTTCCATGCTGTCACGATATGAGCATGCAAAATGACCCACACCACACACTATGTAAGACTTTTAACTATGGAATCATAGAAGGGACATTGTCGCGTTCACGCCCATACAAATAAAGAAAAAAGTAACAAAAGTAACAAATGCGCAACATCGGGATAACATTTTTACCAGGTGTCGCGTTGTCGTATTGTCCCGCTTTGAATAATATTTTTGGTTTTCCCAAGGGCGACAATGCGAAGATGTGACCTTTTGTAAGGTCAAATTGTGAGAAAGGGTCGTTAAAAGACTCGACAGCGTGGCAATAAGACTCACTGATAATTTTCCGCACATTAAATGTGCGCATGCGTAGTAAGTAAATGAAACTCTCTATGCGCATTCGTCACCACTCGCCCCTTTCCGCAACCTGCAAGAAGACTCGTCCCATATCGATGAATGTTATGTGCGAAAATACGACAAACCAAGCCAAATGCGCGTATGACTTCAAGCTCTTCGGTAAAAGAATCCCTCGGGAACATAACTTTGATTTTACACATGTCTTGCATCTAAAAATATATCCAAGATACGATTAAATGTGTTCAATCATACTGTATGGTACCACATGTCCTGATGTGCTTTAAATTCCCCACATTGGGAAATATACATGAATCATTACACAACGAGTTGACAATTCTTTTAGCTAAGCCCCTTGGCGTTTAGACGGAACCCGGTCGCAAAAATGGCCACTAGATGGGCACGAGTCGCTTTTCGGCTTGTCCCGGAAGAACACGAATTGGTCACGAATACATCTATGCGCAGAAACGGTTAGACTCTTTTCCAAACTCAAGTGGGCATTTACAGCTTTTCTCACATAAATATTGCTGTGAGTGGTTGAATGTTGTTAAAAGACGCAGACAGTAACATCACACCTTTATTATGGCAGAACTATTTTGTTTGTTTTACGGGTTTGATAGTGAAACATGTGGTCAGTAGGTCGAAAATGGATGACGCATTGTACAGGGATTTTTCGTCATCGTAAAGTTTTATTTCGATTGGTAGGTGAAAAAAGAAACTTGTAATGACTATCTTTGGAAAAAAACGTCTGCTTTTGTCATGTAAAATCCCCTTTTTATGATCCAATCGATCCACAAAATCGGCGATATAAAAAAGCTTGTCATTCTGACTTTTCCTTATTTTGGTTTTTCGATTTTTAAGTTCGAAGGATCTGTAAACCAAGAACAAGAGTAAAACACACAACCAGCCACGACTGACCATCCAATCCCCTTTACTCGCCCCTTTCGACAAGCATGGGTGGGACCAATTCAACCTCGCAAGCTGTTTGGTAGCGCCATTGGGAGATTTTAAAAGTTGTACCTGTGTGACGTTTCAATGATAAACTACGAAAATGTAAGCCTCACATAAGAACAAGTTTTATGAACATTTGTTTTGAATAACCAGTCATGCAGCAGTTCCATCTATTTCCAGCTATGAAGATGGTTGGCTATGTTGCGTCCTACTGGAACATCTCCATGGTAACTTGGACTCCAATGAGGCGCAATTCGTTGCCAGACAAGGGTCATTTAAATGTCGACAGCGTTTATGGCACGTATGAAGGTTTGCTCGAGTCTGTGGCCACCGTTCTCTTAGACTGCGGATGGAAACACATAGGTAATACCCTTTTCCTCAAAAACGATATGGGCGAATGGGTGAGTAAGTGGATTTAGTGTAACGGCGTGTCCGTTTAATGTGAGAGCACGTTGATGCAGGTCCAATACTTTTACCACTTTGGCTGTAAACTCACAAGCATGTCGTGGATGCGAAAAGGCAATCATAAGATCATGCAACGAATAAGGGACGCAACTCCGCATAGCGAATAACGGTTCTTAAGACGTCAAAGCGTCAACGAACCAAATCACAGCGGTTGCTGTTTGTGGGATGTACTTTAGCTTTTTAAAAAAGGCACTGCACAAGTAGTCGATATTGTAACAGCCAAGAGACAATGTCGTTAAAGTTAATGTAGTTTGTAGTTATGAAATAGTAACAACGAGACTTTCTAGGGCTTCGACCCTTCCCCAAACTGAAACACTTGTTGCATGTAGTGTCTCCTGCAGCAAGTAACTTTGTTCGAAACATGTCTGTTTTCAAGCAGTAAATGGGTACCCGGCAGTATCTGAATTTCATAAGGCAGTCTGAGATGTATGCTCACCAGGGAACTGATAGTGAAATTCAAGAGTACATGATCCATTGACCGGGGATTAAAGCATCGATTTGAGCATGCTTCGAAAGGATGGATTGTTTTAATATACACATTCTTCTTCATTTTGTATGGGCACAGGTGGCCCAGTCGTCTAAGGCGCCGCGATTCGCTGTGCAGAGTTGCGTCCCTTGGGACCACCAGAAACCTTTGATTGTGGGTCCGAATCCCGGTTCGCCCCGATTATGTTTCTAGGTTTGTCAGCACCGTACCCGTGCTCGTGGGTTTCACCGAAGTTGTAAACGTCTGAGACCTGCATCACTTCGGGCTTTCCTCCCACATTAAGCTGACACGCCGTGATATAATTGGAACACTGTTAAAATCGGCGTTGAACACAACTCACTAACTCTTCTTATTGTATTGTCTTCTAATATGATCTTTCTACTTCAGGTTTTATTGGACATATGTGTGATACATGCACAGCCTTTTTAAGAGCCGCTAAAGCTGTCTTCCCTCGGCACGGTATTGAAATCGGCCTTTCGGCTTCGATATCCTGTCATGGAGAGGACACAGAAGATAAACTCAAAACTCTCAAGTCAAAAGCTTCAAGTAAGAATATTCTTCAAGATATCAGTTATACAACAAGTAGGGGAGGGTACCAATTCCAGTTGCGATTTGGTACATAGTCAGATAATAAAACAAGGAACTCTTCCTCTAGAGGTGCCTAACCCCCGTGAACATGATTTGTTTAAATCTTGGGGGATTCCTGTTCTCAATAGATCCCAAGTACCCTAGGATGTAGTTCTTTTCTAAGACCGCAAAAAGTCAAGCAGATATATTGAGGTTTTGAGAATCCGCATGGTATTAAATCCCCTTGTCTCAAATATCTTATATGAATATAGAAAAAGTCCTTCCTTGATTATATTGAAGATCATGGTTAATCTTAAAGACAGGGCTTTAGTGGTACATTTGGTGCAGCCGGCAAGCTTTGACTAGACATAGTTTAGTCTGAGCGTATTTGAGCGGTTTTAAATTGGACATTGCGCTGTACAATGTCATGAATTGTTTATGATTAATGAATATACGTTTTGATATGTTTACAGTTATTTTAAGCTGCATACATCTTCATCATCACAACAGTTTTCTGGAGGCTGCTCACAATGCGGATATGACGTCAGGAGCTCATGTGTTTTTGAATTGGCGACCAGAGCCCCATGCGTATATTCCATATGAAACCATTGCTGGACAAAAATATTCAAGCAGTTTGCTGCAGCTGGTCAATTATAATGTAAATAAAACAAGGTATGGAGAATTCTTCAAAAGAGTCTTTGCGAAGGTACCCCATCGTCACAAGAGATGGTCATCGCACTCTTCATGGGTAAGCTTTCTGTTCGGTGTTCTAGGATTTGGTGGGCGAACCGATGGCCCAGACAACTGAAGCACCGTATTTCGCTGTGCAGAGTTGCGTCCCTTAGGCCAAAAACGTTTGAAACGTTCTTTCAAATCTCGAGTGATCGTGTTTCAAGGTTTGTGAGCATCAGGGAATTGCAAATGACATCAATGTGGTCACTGATACCTCAAATTTGGAAATGACCTCTTGATGTCTAAATTAAAACTTTTGAATGCTTTACTGAGGCTTTGAGTGAGTGAGTGAGTTGGGTTCAACGCCGCTTTTAACAGTATTCCAGTTATATCACGGCGTGTCAGCTTAATGTGGGAGGAAAGCCCGAAGTGATGCAGGTCTCAGACGTTTACCACTTCGGTGGAACCCACGAGCACGGGTATGGTGCTGACAAACCTAGAAACATAATCTGGGCGAACCGGGATTCCAACCCACAATCATAGGTTTCTGGCGAGCCCAAGGGACGCAACTCTGCACAGCGAATCGCGGCGCCTTAGACGACTGGGCCACCCGTGCCCCCACTGAGGTCTTGAATGTTCTAACCCTGATCAAAGAACTTTCAAGCAAGAGTGAACGTTTCTACTCGTAATCATTTTAGTGCATCTACCCGAAGTCATTATAATGCTGGGTACAATGTGTGAAGCCCATTTCTCGTGTCCCCCGCCGTGATATTGCTACAATATTGCTAAAAGCGGCGTAAAACCAAACTCACTCACTCACTCATTATAATGCATTGCAATCTTTTTCATCCTCAACAAAGTTGGTTAAAATCGTAAGTACTATTAAATTGGTTATTCAGGAAAATACCAGTAACTTGTATGTTGAGATGGAAGTAATGATCCTCGTGGTTACATAGCGATTAAATTTAATTCTTATGAACAGTACTAGTGCCAGTTTCTGTGGTATAGCTGCGTGGCTACCATCCTCTATACCTCCATGGCTCTCATTTCTGTAAACTAAACAAACCATTCACCGTAGTTCTCGCTATCACAAATTACCCGCCCTTGGTTTTCATTGAAGTTTAACGACCAATCAACCGTTGAGATAAGGACAAAGGAAATGGGTAAGGGCGGTAACTCGTAATGCCATGTTGATATCGGCTACCCATTCGTGACCAACTCGTAATATTCCGGGACAAGCCGAATAGCGACTCGTGCCCATCTCATGGCCATTTTTGCGACCGGGTTCCGTCTTAGCGCAAACGGGCATACCTAAAACAATTGTCAACTCGTTGCGTAATGGTTCACATATTATTTCCCTATGTATTAGATATATTTCAGATGCAATTTGAAGCACATTGGGGCGTGCGGAATTATACAGTATGATTGAACACATTTAACTGAGTCTTGGGTATGTTTTTAGATGGAAGACATATGTAAATTCAAAAAATATTTCTGAGGGATTCTTTGACGAAGAACTTGAAATCAAACGCGCATTCTGATTGGTTTGTCGTATTTTCGCACATAACATTCATCGATAGGGGGACGAGTCTTCTTGCAGGTTACGGAAAGGGGCGAGTTGTGACGAATGATCGCCTACCCAACATTGAAGCCGGTTTGGTTTCGCATTCTGACTGGTTCGTTAGACTGAGTAGCGTAGCAAAGTCAAATGCGCTAATGAAAACCAAGGGCGGGTAATTTGTGATAGCGAGAACCACGGGACTGGATCCAGTGGCTGGTGTACGTTGACCGAAATCTGATGCCTGGAGATGAGGATAAACAGATTCGAGTGATTTCTCTGACTTATGATATAGTTGATATGTAATGTCTCTATAATTTTGCTTAATGACCTAAAGTTTTATCGGTTTAAAGATTTCACTTCAATGGCTAGTGAATTTCTGGCTCGCAATCCACTGCAAAAACAATACTGCTTTAAGTGATAGATAATGTTTGGTTTGGTTTGTTTGTTGTTTAACGTCGCACTCACCAATATTCCAGCTATATGACGGCGTTCTGGAAATAATCGAGTCTGGACAAGACAATCCAGTGATTGATATCATGAGCATCGTTCCACGCAAATGGGATCGATGACATGTATCAACCAAGTCAGCGCGCCTGACCACCCGATCCCGTTAGTCGCCTCATACGACAAGCATAGTCGCCTTTTACGGCAAACATGGGTTACTGAAGACTTATTCCACCCCGAATCTTCGCGAGTCGATAGATAATGTAGTCATGTTATGGATATTGGGCATGTCAGCATTATTTGACATCGATATATTTAATACGCCGTTTCTGATTGTTGCAGGGAGGTTGGCATTATCTAACGTTTCTTCACGACGCCGTTATTCTCGCGGTCAATGGATCTTCACCCGGAGACACGTTCACAGGTAGATGTGAAGTCCTTATTACCAGGTCTTTGAAAGGCATTTAGAAGTGATACATACACTCTTCAAAAAAAAAGAAACGCATAGTTAAAAAAATAAGGATATTTATTAAGCGGATGTAAAAATATCTACACAGAATATGCGTGAACACAATCAAATGAAATTAGACAAAGTGATCGACAAAAGCATTGTCGTCATTGTCAGGATTAATTCAGTTCAGTCATTGCACATGTGTAGCCACAAGGGGGCGTCATGGTCAGTACCTGGTCACACCACCTCTTGCAGCCGTCACTGCTCGACACCTCCATGGCACAGATTGCACCAGCAGATTTTTTCGTGGGGAATCCTTCGCCATTCCTCCTGTAAGGCGTTGGCGAGTTGTGCCCGTGTGGGGACGCTGGTGACGTTGACGGACGCGTCGATCAAGTTCATCCCACAAATGTTCAATCGGGTGGAGATTAGGTGATTTGGACGGCCATGGGAGGACATTGATGTTCTCATTAACAAGGAAATTAACTGTTGCACGTGCTGTGTGGGGCCGAGCGTTGTCATGCTGGAACAGCTCCCTCTGGCGGTCCAAAGTTGGGAGGAGGTGAGGACGCAGAACTTGGTCTATATATCGGTTTGCTGTAAGAATGCCCTGGACAACCACTAACTGTGATCTACCTGTGAAGGATATAGCTACCCACACCACGACACTCCCTCCACCAAATCGGTCCACCTGTCGAACGCAGTTCGGCACAAAACGTTCATGTCGACGTCGGTATACACGTTGTCTTCCATCCCGTCGTTGAAGAAGAAAACGTGACTCATCGCTGAACCAAACACGTCGCCAGTTCCTGAGATCCCATGTCTGTACTCTGTTGCACCACCGGACACGTCGTTGACGGTGTAGACGTCGCAAGACAGGTCCAACTTTTGGTCGTCCCGCTCTAATTCCCACTTCCCTCAGATTTCTGATGGTTTGGTCGGAAATTTTTCGCATACCAGGCACTTGTCCTGCAGTGTCCGTTGCTGTAGCAAATCGATTCCGAGGGTGATGCAACCGGATGTACCGATCCTGAGCAGGGGTGGTCACTCTTGGTCTTCCGCTTCTGGCATGATCTTGAGTCGAATTAGTGCGGGTATATCGATCCCATAGTCGAGATATGGTGCTTTGGTGAACGTTGAAGTGTCTTGCAACGGCAGACTGGGACTCCCCTGCTTCCAAATGTCAAATGGCGATATTTCGGTCAGCTGCAGTTAATCTTGGCATTTTTCGATCTCCGTTCACGTCAGAAAATTCGTAATGAACTGATGAATTTTGTACGGTATTTTATAGTCAGTGTTTCTACTCTTGTTTCCAACAACGTGCATTGTGCTGAAAACATTTTCTGAATGCAATTTCCGTGCATTTTTGCTGATAAACGTTTACAAAAAACATTTTGATATGTGTTTGCGCGCAATGTACAACAAACATGACATGATTGACGGGAATCAAACATAAGAATTGTCTTTATGACGTTTGCTGGGAAAACAAATCTAATTGGAATTCTCAAAACACCTATGCGTTTGCTTTTTTGAAGAGTGTATAAGGAAGTGAGTGAGTGAGTGAGTGAGTTGGGTTTAACGCCACATTTAACAGTATTCCAGTTATATCGCGGCGTGTCAGCTTAATGTGGGAGGAAAGCCCGAAGTGATTCAGGTCTAAGACGTTTACCACTTCGGTGAAACCCACGAGCAAGGGTATGGTGCTGACAAACCTAGAAACATAATCGGGGTGAACCGGGATTCGAAGCCACAATCATAGGTTTCTGGCTAGCCCAAGGGAGGCAGAGTGCACAGCGAATCGCGGCGCCCTAGACGACTGGGCCACCCGTGACCCCGCATAAGGAAGAGAATGTATGGATGTCAACTACTATATTCTGAGGAACACAACGTTTCGGAGTATCTCTTACTCCGTCATCAGGTGAATGAATGCCATGAGACAGACAGCCTATATATGTCCCCCGCCGTGATATTCCTGGAGTATTGCTTAAAGCGGCGTAAAACCATACTCACACACTCACTAATTCTAACATCATCATTGTTATTAGAATTACTTCCGTCCACCACTTTTCCCACTTTAGACCGCCATGGTCTAGTGGACAGGGTGTCTACTCTAAGTGCGGAAGGTCGGTGGTTCGATCCCCGGCCGCGTCATACCAAACGACGCTAAGAGAGGCTCGGTATAAAGGGGATGAAACAACAAACTGTCGGGTCGGAGTCAATATGCTTTTAAGGCATTAATAGGTTGAAATCCACACGTCATCTCTGTTCTCACTGATATTTGATCTACCATTCTACTTCTCCAGATTCCCGGCTTCTGACAGGATCTATGGAGAGTGTCAGTGGTATCCGCACTCCAAGACTGTCAGTGTTCCATTTCCAACACAACAAAACAGTGGAGGTGTTCCTGGTGCAGGGGGGCTCCAGTCTGCAGAGGTTGGAAGGGCTGTACTGGCCCTGGGGCAGACTCCCAGATGACCAAATGCCATGTACCGGTCAGGCTTGTGAAGGTCTGTAAACACTGATTTAAAGCGCGTAAAACATGCAAATATCTTGTTAATTGTCTTCATATGTTTGTTTGCTTGTTGTTCAGACCCAACGTAATATTCCAGCTATATGACGGCAGTAGGTAAACAATCGAGCCTGGACCAGACAATCCATTGATTGACATCATTAGCATCGATCAACGAAATTGGGATCGATGACATGCATCAACCAAGTCAGCGAGCCTGACCACCTGATCCCGTTAGTCGCCTCATACGACAAGCATGGTCGCCTATTTGGACAAGCATGGGTTGCTGAAGCCCAATTCTAACCCGGAACTTGTTTGTGTGTTTGTTTGTTGTTTATTAACGCCGCAATAAGCAATATTCCAGCAATATGACGGCGGTTTGTAAATCACCAACCAATTCAGCGATAGATGCCATGACCATCGATCTGCGCAATTGGGATACGATGAATGCAAATCAACTTAGAAATGATTTATTCTGAGCGTACAAAATATTGTTGACTTGTTTTGACGTTTTGAACCTCTGAGGAACATAAAATGAAACGTGTTTTTTCCTCAGTTTTAGTGGTTTCCATAGCACCGAATCGTGAGAAAAGCAATGTGTATTCGTGTAGTGTAGATATACTCAAAACACCCATTACATACATTGAGGACCGCCTCCGTTATCTAGTGGTAGTGCGTCCGCACGGAGAGCGTAAGGTCCGGGCTTCGATCCCCGGCCGCGTAATACCAAAAGACGTTAAAATATGGGACTTGTTGTTTCCCTGTCTGGCTCTCGGCATTAAGGGGCTAATACCAGGACTGGTCGGCTCGGAGTCAGTATACTGTGTCTGAGTGGGGTATTCATGTTAAACTGCGGCATGGTATCTCAGTGGGCTGGCACTATGAATCGACATCAGTCCGGACTAGTACAAGCACGCACGCAGGCACGCGCGCGTGCATGCACGGCGCTATATAAGTGCAATAATCTTGGACGTGACGTTAAACCCCATTTCACCTCACATACAGTGAACTGAGAACTGCGTTCACAAACGTATATACAAACGTATCCTTGTTTCAGATGACGATCATGCAGCAGTGATATCCGGGGCAGTCATCGGGGCTCTGCTTGGCGCAGCTTTAATTGTAGTGTGTGCGTTTGTATTCAGGTGAGGTTTCCTACAAATACATGACTTAGTACGAAACGGAAAGTAAAATATATGATCAAGTCATCATCTAATCATGACGCTCCAGAGTGGATTAGAAGTCACGGCATTGTATCGTTTTTGAATATATGCGAAACAGACTTTGCCCTATGACACGCTCAAAACTGTTAAGGTTAGTTGGTTGGTTGGTCCAGTGATTGATATCATGAGCATCAATCATCGCAATTGGGATCGATGACATGCATCAACCAAGTCAGCAAGCCTGACCACGATCCCGTTAGTAGCCTTTTACGACAAGCATAGTCGCCTTTTACGGCAGGCATGGGTTGCTGAAGACCTATTCTACCCCGGAATCTTCACAGGTCCGTGCATGCACGGCGCTTTATAAGTGCAATAACCTTGGACGCAACGTTAAACACCATTTCACCTTACATACAGTGAACTGAGAACTGCGTTCACAAACGTATATACAAACATACAAACATTGGTTACTGAAGACCTATTCTACCCCGGAATCTTCACGGGTCCACAACTGTTAAGGCGCCGAGCTTACTGTGGCAGAGTGGCATCGTGCCAGAAACCTATGATGCTGGGTTCATATCTCAGTTTGTCCACACAACACCCATGGGTTTCACCGCAGTGTGTCCAAGACCCCCCCCCCCCCAATCAATATATCATTTTATTGTATACTTCAGTGCGAAAGACTGAACTTTCCGAAGTTGAGAAAAGTGATATTGTCATTGCAGTGTAGGTAACAATTGATTTTTCACTGCAGTGAACATAACACTTGATATTTCACTGCAGTGAAAATAACACTTTGACGGAACTATTGTCACACAAGAGTTATCTCCCCTCAAATTGTCTCCCTTTATCGTAAGTGTCAAACCCGTAGACCAACTGTTGACTTCCTTTTAACGTTAGTTCCACATTGACAAGGCAAAATAATGACAGATGTCCATTTATGGAGTTAATATCGCTTCAGGCTGTTTCTTATTCTCTTGAAAATGTTTCATTATACACTGTAAATGTCCCCTGTAACTCGTCAATCGAGACTGTTCGTTTCGCAAAGCGCTATTTTTGTTACTTGACTTGCGTGTATGCTTTCGCTTCCAACAGCGGTTAGGTAGTTTTCAAGTATATTTTTTGTTAAAGTTGATTTTGTATTTAATCATATCTATATGTATGATACAGAATTTTCGTGCCCCTAAATAATTTTTGTTACTTTTCTTTATATTTTTATAACATTTTGCAAACACGAAACTACTTTTTTAGTTGCAAATACAAGGGGTGGTGAACCGTCCCTGTGTGTTAGGTAGGGAGAATTTACTTTCCAGGTTTTACATTTGTAATGAAATAATAAAATGTCTGGTAGACAACTACACAAAAAGTATAATTATATTTTTTGATACTTTTGTTATATTTTTTTAAGATTTTGCAAACTTGAAACTACTTTTTAAGTCGCAAATACAAGGGGTGGTGAAACGTTTCCGTGTGTCAGGTAGGGAGAATTAACGTTTCAAGGTTTTACGTTTGTAATGAACTAGTTTATTTTTCCGGTAGACAACTGCATAAAGGGTATATAATAAATAGGATTTTCCATGTGTCTCGTGAAATATCATGTTTCTCTCATCTCGTGACGGAAAAAAAGGAGATATTCTCACGAGCGGTTCAAAGCGGCATTAAACCAAATATCACTCACTCACTCCATGACGGATGCATTGCGTTGTTTGCAGGAGGTCGTTGATGAAGAGAAAAGCCAGCAAGATATGGAAGGTTAGCAGCCATGACGTCAAGATGAGGCGAACCAGAGTGAACTCTGCAAATGTCGAAGCCAATCCAAGACGCAAACTTATGAGAATGGTGAACATAACTTAGCATTCTGTTGTAGACAACCTAATATAGCCTTGGTATTTGTGACCATGTACCCAGCCTTTTCCTGTGTGAGACCATTCGTCACCGCGCGCCTCTTTCCGTAACCTGCAAGAAGACTCGTCCCCCTATCGATGAATGTTATGTGCGAAAATAGACAAACCAATCAGAATGAGCGTCCCTCAGAAATAATTTTTGATTTTACATATGTCTTGCATCTAAAAATATACCCAAGGCACAGTTAAATGTGTTCAATCATACTGTATAATTCCGCATGTCCAGATGTGCTTCAAATTGCATCTGAAATATATATAATATATGGGGAAATATATGTGAACCATAACGCGACGAGTTGACAATTATATTAGGTATGCTCGTTTGCGCTAAGACGGAACCAAATTGCAAAAATGGCCATGAGAGGGACACGAGTCGCTATTCGGCTTGTCCCGGAATAACACGAGTTGGTCACGAATTGACATAACAACTGCTCATTGTGTAGTCGGAATCATACAATGAAGTAGCAGATATGTCTCATCATTATGGAAAAGGCGGCACGGGTGGCCCAGTCGTCTAAGGCGCCGCGATTCGCTGTGCAGAGTTGCGTCCCTTGGGCTAGCCAGAAACCTATGATTGTGGGTTCGAATCCCGGTTGCCCCGATTATGTTTCTAGGTTTGTCAGCACCATATCCGTGCTTGTGGGTTTCACCGAAGTGGTAAACGTCTGAGACCTGCATCACTTCGGGCTTTCCTTCCACATTAAGCTGACACGCCGTGATATAACTGTAATACTGTTAAAATCGGCGTTAAACCTAACTCACTCACTCATTATGGAAATGTATTATATTTAGTATCGATAAAACAGATTTCTTTTCAAATATAACTCAAGACTGTTACTGGAACAGTCTTTGAGGACATAAATTCTGAAAGGGGCACTAAAAGTAGCAAACCTTTGTCTATTTCAAAATTATATTTGTTTTCGACAAATGTTTGATCACAATTTTCACACGATAACAGACGTTCGTCTACTTTGCTTTTGCACTTTGAAGTTGTGTCAAAAGGTGCAAAACCTTGCCAAAATTTGTATCATATCTTTTTTTTGTAGAGGGCCAGATGTATAATTCTGAAATGCCATCCTTAAACCATTTCAGGAGACACGAGGCACACTTGGTTTGGGATCCATCACGAGCCTGGACAGAAACATGTTGTTTGCGCCCATTGGGAATTACAAAGTAAAGTGATTGCTGTGTGTTGACCTTGACTGCCAGTACAAGTTGTATGGATACACCTTAATGATACAAGTTCCTATACAACCCAAATCGATGTTAATCGTAGCGATAATTTGGCTGAAAAACGTATTATAGATTATTAACTTACATAGGACCAAAAGCCATCATGCAACGGTAAAATGTATACTTTTGAGTTTCCTGTTTGTTTTAAGCCTTGCTGTAATAGTTATTGTACTGTATTGACAGGGCAGTGTTGTGGCTGTGAAGAAAATACGACAAACACCGGTCAAACTGACCACAGAAATGACCCAGAATTTTAATCTGGTATGTAATCTTACTATTGTTCTTTCGCGATTCGCTGTGCAGAGTTGCGTCCCTTAGTCACGCCAGAAACCTATGATTGTGGGTTCGAATCCCGGCTCGCCCCGATTATGTTTCTAGGTTTGTCAGCACCATACCCGTGCTCGTGGGTTTCACCGAAGTGGTAAACGTCTGAGACCTGCATCACTTCGGGCCTTCCTCCAAAATTAAGCTGACACGCCGTGATATGATTGGAATACTGTTAAAAGCGGCGTTAAACCAAACTCACTCACTCTTTCATTTCTATCTTATTCTGACACCTGCGTCAAATTAACACTATGCGTGAACCAGCTTCTGATACTGATACATCGCCAGTTCCATAAACACACATGAATCTGCTTGGTCGTTACTTATTGAAGGAACAAGTAAGGTTTTATTTATAATTAGTCATGCCGTTTTAAATTTTACCATTTACTTATGCTTGAGAATCGTATTTTTCCGAACACCTTGTTTTATCGCTATTTGATAGTGATTCGTAATTACGTTCTTGTAGTCGGAATCATACATTGGACTTCTTTCTTATGATTATGGAAACGATGATCGCACTTTTATTTACAGGTAAAAGAACTCCAGCATGACAATCTGAACCAGTTTATTGGTGCCAACTTGGACCCTAACAATAGCTACCTGCTTTACAAGTACTGCAATAAAGGGAGCCTACAGGTAGGGTAGACGTTTTAACAACGTCTGTATGTATGCAGGCGTCATTTATCAAACGGCCGCTAGCGGTTAGAGCGTTTCACCAGAGAGCAGAATGTTGGTGGTTCGACGGCGGCCTTTAAATGGATCAGACAAACTGGTGGTTGATGTTATGCGCAATGTCCCACACCGCCTGAGTACTATGGAACGCTTTCAGAGACGGGGGTGTCACGTTGACTCAGACTATCCGCTCGTCATGACTCATCCAACTATCGAGGCGGTTGGGTAGGCCAGTGGTTAAATCATGCGCTCGATTCACCAATGTGTGACTCCCATTTACGATTTCTCTCGACGTGATAATGCCGTAACATTGCTTAAAGCGGCGTAAAAAAACCTTTCACACTCATTCACCTATCAGTGAGAGAGTGAGTGAGTTTGGTTTTACGCCGCTTTTAGCAATATTCCAGCAATATCACGGCGAGGGACACCAGAAATGGGCTTCACACATTGTACCCATGTCGGGATTCGAACCCGGGTTTTCGGCGTGACGGGCGAACGCTTTAACCACTAGGCTACCTGACCGCCCTTACCTATCAGTAGGGGCGGTCGGGTAGCCTGGTGATTGAAGCGTTTGCTCGTCACGCCGAAGACCCGGGTTCGATTCTCGACATGGGTACAACGTGTGAAGCTCATTTCTGGTGTCCCCGCCGTGATATTGCTTGAATATTGCCCAAAGCGGTTTACAATCATACTCACTCATCTATCAGTACTCACAAGTAGTCAGGTGGTTATGTAAAATCATGTACAACAAATAGACAAAATCTTTGTATAACAACTTCTTAATTTACAGTAAAGGCGACTTTTCGGTATGGATCCTTATAACGTTGTCAAGCAAGGCTGTCTACTGTGTCATCCGTCAACTTCTAAGTAATACCTATCCAAAAATTGACTCTTGGACACTCATGCAATAAATCAATAAAACTGATCGAATATCTCTCTCTGTAGGACGTCCTTGAGAACGATGACATCAGCCTGGATTGGATGTTCAAGATGTCATTTGCAATAGATCTATCAAAGGTGAGTGTAAACTGTCAAGATTAGGATGCAACTCATATGAAGATAGGGACGAACAATTTGCTTTAAAGATTTAAAGTAATTTATTCCAGAACATAATGCTTTCCAAACTCTCAACCCCACCCACCCACAACTCCCTCCTTCACATATCCTCAAAATGTTACGTTCCTTTAAGACATGGCTCTGCCATCCCATTGTCTCGTTGTATAATTTCCATACATATCTGCACAGGATTTACACATGGATAGTTATCATATATTATATGGGCAACAATATATACTAACATTTTTTCTATTTTAATGTTGAGGTATTTGATGATGTATACTGATTCATTCATTATTCAGATCAACCATTTATGTAAAAAAAATAAATAATTTCTTTTAATTTTTTTATGTACTCTGTATATCTTGAGACGACCCCCGTCATCTATTCCAATATTTATGACATATGTTGTTTCTACATAGGGAATGGAGTATCTCCACAAGAGTCCCCTGAAGTCTCATGGAAATCTCAAGTCAAGCAACTGTGTCATTGACAGTCGTTGGGTGCTGAAGATCACGGACTTCGGCGCTGTGACTCTTCAGCCAAAGGAACCAGATGACGACATAGGGGAGCACGAGTTTTACAACAGTAAGCCAGCTAGTCATATACTTGCCTTGCCTTTGCATGTGTCTGTACCAACGGTGCCACCGGTGGGCAGGATGCGCTATTGGCGAACACCTGGTGTCATCATTTTTTGACAGTGATTCATATACTCATGACCGTGATATAGTCGGAATCGTACAATGGACCCGGTTTTTAGCAGATATTTCTTATGATTATGGAAGTGTTTGTTGTCGCTTTTATTCAACAGGGCAGAGCACTGAGTTTAGGTTTTTTCTTTGATCCGGCCCTGGACAACTGGCAGTGTCCAAATAAACTGACGTCCAAAAGAAACTTTACCAGAGTTTGAAATCACTCTTGCTCAAAAACAACAAAACATACATGCATGAAGTATAGTGTATTGAGAAGATCAATATATCAACATAATCAACACTGAAATTAACAATCACACCGTGACCGAGAATGACGTCAGAGCCCCCCAAAGTTGGGTGTGGTACAAAACTCGAGCTATCAGAATCATGGACAATAGGCAGAGTACATAAACAATCGCTCACGTTCAATAACAAGTCGTTAGTGGCGTGTGCGACCACTAAATGCCTCAATACACGCAAAAACTCTTCGACGCACAGAAAAAGTCAGTCGTATGATGAGGTCACGTGGGATTTGACGCCATTCTTCTTGGAGGGCCAAGATCAGTTCTTGTCGGTTGGCTGGAGAGTGTGGTCGTTGGCGAGCACGACGATCCATCAAGTCCCAGAGGTGTTCTATGGGGGACATGTCGGGTAAGCGTGCAGGCCACGGCAGGACGTTGATATTGTTGGCTGCGAGGAAGTTAGTGACAATTCTGGCTGTATGGCCTCTAGCGTTGTCATGCTGATAAATGACACCACGTGGCTGCTGTTGGAGAAATGGTAGGACAACTGGAAGAAGAATGTTATCCATGTACCGCTGAGCTGTCAAGTTTCCGTCAACGATGACCAGCGGTGTCCTCTCCTGCCCACAGATCCCTCCCAAAACCATGACACTCCCTCCACCATATGGTACGACCTCCTGCACGCAACACGCCGCCGTTCGTTCACCCCTTCGGCGGTAAACACGTTTTCTTCCATCAGCCCTAAACATACAGAATCGACTTTCGTCAGTGAAGACAACCCTCTGCCAGTCACGTCGTTGCCAACGTCGTACAGTCCGGGCCCATCTCAATCGCAGACGACGATGTTGCGCTGTCAATAGCTGTCCTCTGTATGGTCTAAAAGCCCTGATTCCATGAGCCCTAAGTATCCTGGCCATCACTGTAATACCTTCAAAGACTCGGCGAATGACAATATTACTTTTATTCCACATTTATGAAAGTTTTTGGTGTCGGATAAATGTCGTTTAACGTGTAGACCTCCTGCTTGGCAAGTGAACCTACATACTGGCATTCGAATAGACAGTTCAGTATTAACTTCAGTTAATAAAATGAGAAATGAATGTTCATAAATCTCTTCATCCCCAGGACTGCTCTGGACATCCCCGGAACTACTACGGATGGACAAGCGCCCTGCACGTGGGACACAGAAGGGGGACGTTTACAGCTTCGCTATCATCCTCCAGGAGATTCATCTACGCTGTGGCCCGTACTATTACAACGACACTTCACCGAAAGGTAGCGATGATACACAATGGTTAATTAACTGCTCCACCTTTTCGTCCAGGCAACATATAGATGTCTAGTCTTGCTTACTTATACTTATCACTCCTTAAAGACGTTGGATACCATTGTTCATGCGCATACCGGACGCGCATGTAACGGCGAGTATTTGTAATGCTGTTACGTCCCTTTGACTCGCGGCTAATTGTACTTGAACTTGTAGAAATGTAAATTTGGGCAAGAGGTACCTCCCCTGATTCATTATTTTAGGGGTATGCTGTGTTGATTGAAAATAATATTAATATCCTCTGGTAACATGTTGTTTTTATTTTATAATTTTATTTTCAATGAATAAACATTAGAAATAAGCCAGTTTGAAAAATATCTTGATTTTGTAAAATGCATTTTTGACTGATGAATCAGTTTTTTTTGGAAAATGTGCTTTTTTTAAAGTCAAATGATGTGTGAAATTAAAAATGTTTAGACTTGAATTTTCATTTTTCTGTTTTGTGTCATATCAATACTGTAATACGTCTATTTAAAAACACTCATTTAAAAATCAAACTTTAAAATGACTATTTTATTGGCGAAATGATTTTATCATCCGGTGCCTCTAGATGGCGCCACTTATTCAACAAATGCCGTTGTGACTTGGTTTTTGTATTGCGTAATTTGATTCAGGACATATTTTACTACAAAATGATACCAAATATACTTATTTCTTGAATTTTTTGTTTTTTGTATGCAACCTCTTTAAATTTTGTGGAGGTTTGTGTTATCATGTATACATATAATGCAGAAATTATACACACATCTTTAAATATGTTACTAATTCCGTTGACAGAATGTTTGACCAATATGATGCAATCCTAGTGTTGCATCCGTGCCTCTATTTAGCATAATGCATCTACAGAACACGGAACATTTCGTTTGAAGTCGCAACAGTTCAGACAAGCCAGTCGCTTATACACTTGGTTGAATTCGGGATGCTGTGCTGTTATGTAAACTGAACAAAACACCTCAGGGATCATAAATAAATTTGGGAATATGTTTTTGTAGTGAAAACTGATCGCTAAATTTCAAAAAGAAATATCCCCAAATATATTCATGATTTTTCGGTCAGTTTATAAAGAGTGTGAGTGAGTGAGTGAGTGAGTGAGTGAGTGAGTTGGGTTTAACACCGATTTTAACAGTATTCCAGTTATATCACGGCGTGTCAACTTCATGCGGGAGGAAAGCCCGAAGTGATACAGGTCTAAGACGTTTACCACTTCCGTGAAACCCACGAGCACGGGTATGGTGCTGACAAACCTAGAAACATAAACGAGGCGAACCGGGATTCGAACCCACAATCATAGGTTTCTGGCGTGCCCAAGGGACGCAATTCTGCACAGCGAATCGCGGCGCTTTAGACGACTGGGCCACCCGTGCCCCCAGTATATATAAATTATTGTTTCCATCACAGAAATCGTCAGCAGGGTCAAGGAGGAGGGCACTGAGGTATACCGTCCAACTATCCCAGAAGACTCGGACATCCTGGAAAAGGGCATTTTGCTGATGACGTCGTGCTGGTCAGAGCTGCCTGACCTCCGGCCAGACTTCCATACAATAAGAAAGAGGCTTATCGACATAAATGGTGGAAAGTTAGTGCATATTTGTCGATTTGATCCAGTTGCAGTGGACATATGATCAACATGAAAAATAGATAATGTACAGAGTCCATTAACTTCAAATACTTAATTTGAAACTGCTTTATAATCGTCACTGTTAGTTTGCCATGTACGCCCAGTGGAATCTGTTTCGGCGGATAATCGAGATTCTGTGATGTTTAATATTTAAATTTAATATTCACAATGATCGCTTGAAACTGGCGCACGATCGTCTAACATTTCTGCAAACAAATTCTCATTCTTTTCCGTGGTTGTGGTTCATTCTTATGAGAAGTGTAAAGATTGACAGAAGTAGAGACTGCTAATGGTTCGTCACTATTCTTCAATGCCTGAGTAGGTTAGAGAGGGATGTATGGAGGTAAAGACAGATAATGGTTCGTCATTGCCTGAGAATGTTAGAGATTGAAGGAGGTAACAATAGGTCGTCATTTTTCTTCAATGCCTGAGTAGGTTAGATAGGGATGTATGGAGGTGAAGACAGATAATGGTTCGTCATTGCCTAAGCATGTTAGGGATTGAAGGAGGTAGAGACTGACAATAGTTCGTCATTATTCTTCAATGCCTGAGTAGGTTAGATAGGGATGTATGGAGGTAAAGACAGATAATGGCCATGGTTCGTCAATGACTGAGAATGTCAGAGATTGAAGGAGGTAGAGACTGACAATAGTTCGTCATTATTCTTCAATGGTTAGAGATAGAGATTGATAAGGTTTGGGGTAGATAAGCGAAGAGAATGATGGGGGTATTTACTGATATAGGTATAGTTTCATCGAGTATTGTGATCATAGGGTTAGTGTTTGATGAGGAAATATATACATATATGCAGCAAAGGATTGCGGTATAGGAACGAATGCCTCTCCACGTGCATGCATGAAAAATGAGTGAGTGAGTATGGTTTTACGCCGCTTTTAGCAATATTCCAGCAATATCACGGCGGGGGACACCAGAAATGGGCTTCACACATTGTACCCATGTCGGGAATCGAACCCGGGTCTTCGGCGTGACGAGCGAACGCTTTAACCACTAGGCTACCCGACCGCCCCCATGAAAAATGAATCGTGTATTGGCATGTGTGACATGGACGACTGCCCCTGCTGATTTACAAATGAGTTTCCAATGGTAGGAAGACGAACATCCTTGACAACATGCTGAAGATGCTGGAGGCGTACAGCAACAACCTGGAGCAGCTGGTGGCAGATCGAACAGAAGAGCTGGCTCTGGAGAAACAGAAGACGGAAAGGCTTTTGTACACGATGCTACCTCCGTAAGTAGTCATGTCTATACCTGTCCTGAGTCATGCCGTTGATTCACACCTGCACTGTAAATAGCTATAGATATACACCTACTTTATGAATAGCTATAGATGTACACCTACTCTGTGAATAGCTATAGATACACACCTACTATGTCAATAGCTATAGACACACACCTACTCTGTGAATAGCTATAGATACACACCTACTCTGTGAATAGCTATAGACACACACCTACTCTGTCAATAGCTATAGACACACACCTACTCTGTGAATAGCTATAGATACACACCTACTCTGTGAATAGCTATAGATACACACCTACTCTGTGAATAGCTATAGATACACACCTACTCTGTGAATAGCTATAGACACACACCTACTCTGTGAATAGCTATAGATGTACACCTACTCTGTGAATAGCTATAGATACACACCTACTCTGTCAATAGCTATAGATACACACCTACTCTGTGAATAGCTATAGACACACACCTACTCTGTGAATAGCTATAGACACACACCTACTCTGTCAATAGTTATAGATACACACCTACTCTGTCAATAGCTATAGATACACACCTACTCTGTGAATAGCTATAGACACACACCTACTCTGTGAATAGCTATAGATGTACACCTACTCTGTCAATAACTATAGATACACACCTTCTCTGTCAATAGCTATAGATACACACCTACTCTGTCAATAGCTATAGACACACACCTACTCTGTGAATAGCTATAGATACACACCTTCTCTGTCAATAGCTATAGACACACACCTACTCTGTCAATAGCTATAGATACACACCTACTCTGTCAATAGATATAGACACACACCTACTCTGTCAATAGATATAGATACACACCTTCTCTGTCAATAGCTATAGATACACACCTACTCTGTGAATAGCTATAGATACACACCTACTCTGTGAATAGCTATAGATACACACCTACTCTGTCAATAGCTATAGACACACACCTTCTCTGTCAATAACTATAGATACACACCTTCTCTGTCAATAGCTATAGATACACACCTACTCTGTGAATAGCTATAGATACACACCTACTCTGTGAATAGCTATAGATACACACCTACTCTGTCAATAGCTATAGATACACACCTACTCTGTCAATAGCTATAGATACACACCTACTCTGTGAATAGCTATAGACACACACCTACTCTGTGAATAGCTATAGATACACACCTACTCTGTGAATAGCTATAGATACACACCTTCTCTGTCAATAGCTATAGATACACACCTACTCTGTGAATAGCTATAGATACACACCTACTATGTCAATAGCTATAGATACACACCTACTCTGTCAATAGCTATAGATACACACCTACTCTGTGAATAGCTATAGACACACACCTACTCTGTCAATAGCTATAGATACACACCTACTCTGTGAATAGCTATAGATACACACCTACTATGTCAATAGCTATAGATACACACCTACTCTGTCAATAGCTATAGACACACACCTTCTCTGTCAATAGCTATAGACACACACCTACTCTGTCAATAGCTATAGATACACACCTACTCTGTCAATAGATATAGACACACACCTACTCTGTCAATAGATATAGATACACACCTTCTCTGTCAATAGCTATAGATACACACCTACTCTGTGAATAGCTATAGATACACACCTACTCTGTCAATAGCTATAGATACACACCTACTCTGTCAATAGCTATAGATACACACCTACTCTGTGAATAGCTATAGATACACACCTACTCTGTGAATAGCTATAGATACACACCTACTCTGTGAATAGCTATAGACACACACCTACTCTGTGAATAGCTATAGATACACACCTACTCTGTCAATAGCTATAGATACACACCTACTCTGTGAATAGCTATAGATACACACCTACTCTGTCAATAGCTATAGATACACACCTACTCTGTGAATAGCTATAGATACACACCTACTCTGTCAATAGCTATAGATACACACCTACTCTGTCAATAGATATAGATACACACCTACTCTGTGAATAGCTATAGATACACACCTACTCTGTCAATAGCTATAGATACACACCAACTCTGTGAATAACTATAGATACACACCTACTCTGTCAATAGCTATAGATACACACCAACTCTGTGAATAACTATAGATACACACCTTCTCTGTGAATAGCTATAGATACACACCTACTCTGTCAATAGCTATAGATACACACCTACTATGTCAATAGTTATAGATACACACCTACTCTGTGAATAGCTATAGATACATACACGCACTGTGAGTGAGTAGCCATACATTTCTGGCCATGTGGTTGTGAGTGAGTGATTTAAAACTAACTCGGGACATCGGCAATATTTTAGCTATAACGTGACGAGACAAATTATATATTGATAACGATAATATTTAGGCTGTATAAAATCCTATCGTCGAAGGACAGTACAGTAACTAGGTGATCAGAGATTGGATTCAAATCTCGTTAAAGGGCATGTAAAAGATTAATCTATCCATTAACAACACAATATGGGAAGGGAATATAGATCGGAAGCAACTCTGCCCATATGGACAGCCAATGGTATACACATGCTTCGATAGGCTACCATACTGTGGTACGCACTTCCCGTGTTGGTAGCCATGGTAGTAATTCACCCGCCCTTACATATGGCACACAACTACCCATGTGATGAGCTACACACCACGCACATACTTTACTGCAAGTACAGTAAACTACGGTTATAACGAACACGCTTATAACGAACTAACGGATATAACGAACTAACTTTTTAGTCCCGACTATATGCTGTAGTTATGCTGTATATATGCTTATAACGAATCACGGTTATAACGAACTAAAATTAGTAGTCCCTTTGAGTTCGTTATAACCGTAGTTTACTGTAGTCCACATCAGACACGCATACAATTGCCAACATATGTAGTCATACATCAGACAAATAGCTACCTCTCTGAGTCATCTGTTGTTGAAATGCTTACGGCAGTTTCAGAGATATGAAACTTAACCAGGAACCCATATACCTCTAATACGTTGCGTGTACCGATATGTTTAATCCTGACGCCTGATAGAATTCCCTCCCTTCCTTCTGTTCCAGGTCTGTCGCTAACCAGTTGAGAATGGGACAACCTGTGATACCAGAAACCTTTGAAGAAGTCTCCATATTTTTCTCTGACATTGTTGGATTCACAAAAATTGCAAGTCTTAGCGAACCATTGGAGGTTAGTTACTCGCGGAATCGATCGAAACGTACGGGACACGTGTTATCTCGATGTTGAAGGAATAGTAAGGCTTAATTCGAGATAAGCAACATTTTTATATGACCCGGCATGAAACCCGTGGACTAAGCCGTGGACTGTGTCTGACTATTTACGCATTGTAGGGTTTAATATAAAGCGACTTCGCACAGTGTTTTCAGTTATTGCACAGCATGGGCATGGTTACAACCAACAGAAACATATTCAGGACCAATCGGGACTCGAACCAACGATCACATGCTGCAGGCACGCTCAAGGGGCGTAACTCCCTTATACCACAGGGCCACCCGTGCCCACTACTCATCGCGGACGTAATGAATACATTAAATATGATGGGTCGATAAATACAGGTTAATATTGGCCTTCTGCAACCCAGACCGCCTCCGTTGCTAGTGGTTGAGCGTCCGCCCGGAGAGCGGAAGTCCGGACTAGTACAAGCAGCCACACAAACACACACACACACACACACACACACACACACACACACACACACACGTTCATGCACGTCGCTATATAAGTGCAATAATCTTGGAGGCGACGTTAAACCCAATTTCACTTACCATGCTTGTCGTAAGAGGTGACTAAAGGGATCAGGTGGCCAGGTTCGCTGACTTGGTTGACGCATGTCATTGTATCCCAGTTGCGTTGATAGATGCTTATGATGACAATCACTGGAATGTCTGACCAAGACTCGAATATTCATATTCCAGCGTTATATAACTGTAATATTGCTGAGTGCGGCGTTAAACAACAAACAAATAACAGGTTATAACAACATATGATTTTTAACTGACAGTACAATACCATATAAATCGAATAAAATGTCCTTATTTTTGTATTTATGTATTATTTTTTGTTTTCTTTCAGGTAGTTGATTTACTGAATGACCTGTACACCACTTTCGATGGAATCATTTCCAAACACGATGTTTATAAGGTGAGGGTGTATATGTAGACATCAACAGTTACTTGATATTCACAGAGGGTCAGATAACTGCTAACATATATGTAAGGATAAGAATTTATGGATGAACAACTTCTTTATTACAATTAAGAGCGACGTTTCGGTGTAGATTCTAACACCGTTATCAAACAAGTGATGTCGGTTGATGGTTGAGATTGCCACGTCTCCATGAAGACGACAAATAACTTTATTGATAGGCATTTAGAAGTTGGAGTACTTATTAAGGATAAGAATGTATGGATGAACAACTTCTTTATTACAATTAAGAGCGACGTTTCGGTGTAGGTTCTAACACCGTTATCAAGCATGTGATGTCGGTTGATATTGCCACGTCTCCATGAAGACGACGATAACGGTGTTAGAACCTACACCGAAATCTGTCATCCTTTAATCGGTCTTATTTATTTGCCACTATTTGAGTCTACGGATCAAATGAACTTTGAATAATAATAAACAAATAACGGTAGTTACCTCGATCGCGAGGGGGGCGCCATCTTGTTTGCCGAACCCGTACCGGATTGTTTTTATGATGGTGAATTCTACAGTTCCACCCTATAGCTATCAATACAACGTTTCCTGTTTACTTCAGGTCGAAACAATTGGCGATGCCTACATGTGTGCAAGTGGGATTCCAAAGCGAAATGGTAAAAAACATTCTGGCGAGATAGCCAGCATGGGTCTAGACCTCATCAGTGCAGTAACTAGTTTCCGGATCCGCCACATACCGGAAGAGAAGTTGCAGCTGCGTGCAGGCCTACATTCGGGTTCGTGCGCAGCTGGGGTTGTTGGTCTGACCATGCCGAGGTACTGTCTGTTCGGCGATACTGTGAACATGGCGTCAAGAATGGAATCAACTGGAAAGGGTTTGTGATTTACGATACACCTGTCTCATCAAAGGAGAGCGATTCAAATAAAATCCGAACACATATGAATTTGAGTTTTCTTATTAGTTGTAGTGTCTCTTTTCAATATATGTGTAAATATATAACCATGAATAGGTTCTGCTAGGTGAAGCACCTTAATCCAGGCTTAATTGTTATTAGTGGTAGTAATAGTAGTAGTAGTAGTAGTAGTAGTAGTAGTAGTAATAGTAGTAGTAGAAGTAGTAGTAGTAGTGTTATTATCATTATTGTTATTATAAGCACCACCACCACCACCACCATCATCATCATCATCATAATCATCATCATCATTATTATTATTATTATTTTTATTATCATCATCATCATCATCTTTATTTTTATCATTATCATTATTATCATTGTCACAACGTTTTGTGTATTTTGGCACATCTTATAGTAATCATTATAACATACAAAAATGAGACATACAAAAATGTATGAATAAAGCATCTCTACATCTATATTAACATTATCATGTTTGTTTCCTTAGCTTTGCATATTCACACCAGCGCATACTTCAACATGGCGCTTCATGAGCTGAGGCAGGGTTTCATCACAGTAGAAAGAGGGTTGATATCAATCAAGGTAGGATATGAGATAAACTGCGAAGGTAGAACGTCAAGATGGCTGGAAAGTAGAACGAGTACATGCCATTCCATAAATTATGATTTAGTCAGAACTACTTCACTTTAGGTTTTTCTTTCACACTAAAAGTAGGATGACGATTATGAAGGAAATGACCCTCGCCCCATGAGTAACTATTCACAGTTAGAATTAAAAGCGTTTAAAGCGGCTTAAAACCATACACTCACACATACAAATCAACTGTAGTTCATGAAAAACAAGAGGTATCTCCCTTGCCGTCTTGACAGTATGCGAGTGAGTGCATGACTTTGATTTTACGCCGCTTTTAGCAATATTCCACCAATATCACGGCGGGGGACACCAGAAATGGGCTTCACACTATGTACCCATGTCGGGAATCGAACCCGGCTTTACGGCGTGACGAGCGAACGCTTTAACCACTAGGCTACCTGACCGCCCCTTGACAGTATGCATATTTTGTCATTTCATATGTTTCATTACTTATGCACAGGACACTCTGATGTAAAACGGAAACATGTGCAATAAGCTGGCGAGATGGGCAGTGATAACGTTGTTTTTCTGTTGTTTTAAAAATGTATCTGATTCATAGACGTTTGTTATTATTTTCAGACAAATAACATATGTAAATGACATGTTTATCCTGAACTAAACACATATATCAATGATTTTATTATTGGAAAATGTGCGATTTCATCAATATGTATCATAAAACTTCCTCAGATAACACAAACATAATACTATTGGCAAGGATCACGGTATACTATTGCTTTGTGTAGTATATATTATTAAATTTATACTTATTATCTGGGACACGGGTGGCCTAGAGGTCGCTTTGCAGAGTTGCGTCCCTTGGACACTCCAGAAACCTATGATTGTGGGTTCAAATCCCGTTTCGCCCTGATTATGTTTCTAGGTTTGTCAGCACCATACCAATGCTCGTGGGTTCAAACGTCTGAGGCCTGCATCACTTCGGGCTTTCCTTCCACATTGAGCTGACACGCCGTGATATAACTGGAATACTGTTAGCGGCGTTAAACCCAACTCACTCACACTTGTTATCTTCATGAAGAATTTGTTTGACGTCTTCACCTCAATTTAATCCTTAGTGGTGATACCACGTGTGAAAAGAGCCAGTTGTCAGTGGTCCATTTATAAAACTTTCATTACTATTTTGGTCTTTACTCCCAATGGGGACACGGGTGGCCCATTCGCCTAAGGCGCCGCGATTCGCTGTGCAGAGTTCCGTCCCTTGGGCACGCCAGAAACCTATGATTGTGGGTTGGAATCCCGGTTGCCCCGATTATGTTTCTAGGTTTGTCAGCACCATACCCGTGCTCGTGGGTTTCACCGAAGTGGTAAACGTCTTAGACCTGCATCACTTCGGGCTTTCCTCCCACATTAAGCTGACACGCTGTGATATAACTGGAATACTGTTAAAAGCGGCTTTACTCACTCACTCACTCACTTTTACTCCTAATGGAATCTGTTTCTGCAGATAATCGAGAATGTTGTTGACTGGTGTTGACTGGTGTTGACTGGTGTTGACATTTTGCATTTACAACAATGATGATATACTGATAGCGATGACGTATTCACGTAGGCATCAGGTATGAATAATATATTACTGATAATCACCAGATTTTGAATCGTGACGACTTTGGTACAAGTATGCATACTTGCTATTCTGATATCCTTCCATTGCAGGGCAAAGGGAACCAGAAAACATTCTGGCTGGTTGGTAAGGCGGACTACAAGAAACCCCTGCCGGACTGCATGATCAAGTAGGTGTTATTTTCAACCACAGGTCGTAACCGTCATTCAGGTAGAAGGATTCGCTCGGGTCTTCTCGGGATATTCCGTTACCTTCTTACCTTAAACCGCACACCGACTGATGCCTCCGCGTACTGTTCGCACAACGGCCGATTTATGGGACATTAGTTAATAGAAATAGGTTATATAATTATTTGTACAGATAATGTTTGACAGGAGTCAGGACTGCTGCCAGATTTGATTATGTAATGTAATAAATATAAGCGAAAATAACCCTTCCGTACTCATAAGGAATCTCTACTAGAAGCTGGGTTCATTGTACCTTTCCGACTTTATAATAAACATGTGTTTATTAATTTCTATTAAATATTGATTATACCAGGAGTTCGCGAAAAGTGAGGGCGTCCTGCCCAGCTAGTGCCCGTCACAAACACATGCAAAGACAAGTCAATTGTCCACCTGAAAAGACACGCGAATCACGCACGCACGAATACGGTGTTAGCGTTGGGCGTCTCAACGTGCGTGATTCCCGTGCACCCTTTCGAGTTGAGTTGATTGGTTCAACTGTGTCATATGGCCCTGTGATGCAGGGGAAGCATTATGCAGATGGCTGTTTCAATGAATGCTCGTTCCACCCGTGACGAACAGGTCTGGTTGTTGATAAAATATAGTGATAGCTAAATAGACAGATTTTTTATTCATGCACCGATTGTCTTTAAATGCAATATCCAGTTATGTATGACTGTTTAATAATCTCATACCAACTTTGACTGGAGTAGGTCCGATAGTTTTTCAGATATTGTAGTAAACGTCGGTACCTTAAATTACCTTCCAGACTATAGTACAAGTTATAATAGGTAATTTTTTAACTGCATTTTGTTACCGTTGTCCTTCAACATCGTCCATATTAATTTTAAAAGCTTTACTGAGACCTGATCAAAATAAAGTTTGACCCTGACTCGTATGACGGTTGTGCAGAAAATTACAGATAGAGCATACAGCTTTAATAGGTTTACTTCCCTCAGTACTGGCCAAGGTGACCTATGCCGTTTGCATTAATCCCTAGAGAGTTTGTCATAACTCTTTTCTGATAGGGGGCACCGGTGGTCCAGTCGTCTGAGGCGCCGCGATTCGCTGTGCAGAGTTGCGTCCCTTGGCCACGCCAGATACCTATGATTGTGGGTTCGAATCCCGGTTCGCCCCGATTATGTTTCTATGTTTGTCAGCACCACACCCGTGCTCGTGGGTTTCACCGAAGTGGTAAACGTATGATACCTGCATCACTTCGGGCTTTCCTCCCACATTAAGCTGACACGCCGTGATATAACTGGAATACTGTTAAAAAGCGGCGTTAAACCCAACTCACTCACACACTCTTTTCTAATATGCATGTGTGGCAGTCACCTGAACCAATCACGCTGAACGCCGGGGTCGGGTTCGATTCCCCAAATGGGTACAATATGGTAAGCCTATACTGCCTTGATAATGATAGAATATTTTGTAAAAGCATCGTAAAACAATAATCAGTGTAATAAGTGCAACTTTTGAATTATTGTCAATAATCCCAGTACTGTTCCTGTGGATTACTTGTGCACACGGGGTTACAGTTTGTGTGGTACGCTGCATGTTTCTAAAAGTCGGTATGTCAGATTGTGTAGCTGGAATCGTTTGTCTTCATAATGGGCCACGGTGTCGTAATTTATAGTAACATTATAGCTTTGTTCGCCATATAGCCACTTAGAAGCTATGGTATCACACGTCGCATTGTAGCAACGCAAAGTACATTGGATTCCACCAGTTACTCCTGACGTCCTTTCAGAAATACCCCTCAATTTCATTTTCCACCCGTGGTTCATTATTTGTACCCGTTTCACGAACACCCGGTATCATCACTGATTTTCAGTTATCCATTCACATAATTGTCACCGTTATTTTGCCTTTTAGGCCCAATGGAATGGAGACTGGTTATTAAGTGGCGTTGACGTTAAATATTTGTGGCCCAACAGAAGACGTTTGACGTCAACTTACTTTCTTAAAAATCGTCATGTGTGCAGACTGTACAAACAATATCGTATTCGTCACTCGTTAGTTCGTAATGTAATAAAAACATTTAAAAAAAAAATAAAAAACCCAAAACGTCAGTTATTACATAAACAGTTATAATGGGACTTTGCAGAAAATGGGTACAAATGTTTGATGTTATATATTCATATTAATTGAAGCTTGTGAATTGTATTTTTGTGTTCCCAAGATCCTGTAATTTTAAAGTATAATGAGAAATCAAAATGTGATTTTTCACCCATAATATGAGCTGTAGCAGGATCAAGAGGGGTACATGGGTTTTTTTGCATCCCGCGTTAGGTTTTATCCTGCGCCAACGAATTTATCATACCGATGAAATTGACATTGTAAAAGAATTTAAACAAATTTAAAATTGACAAAATAAACTGTTCCATTGAGCTGAGGTTACCTTGCGCTAAGTCACGTGAATTCCATTGACTCGGAAAAAGCGTGCGGCTTTTTTGCTTTGAAGCGGGGTATAAGGGATTTCATTCTGCCTCTCAGAAATCCACGTGCAGTGTGACTTGCTCGTGGCGGGGTACAAGATTTATAACCCTCCAAGGCGGGATACACTGTTTGTTTTTTATCAAGATCGCGTGGACCAATCATATCTCATCGTTCTGACATGAAGGTACGGTAAGGTCCCTTATCCTATGGTTGTACACATTTACTTCATCTATATTTCAGGCTCCAGAAGTCCTATGAAGAAGAGTGCGACTCGCGCGCTCCATCTCCGTCTGGGAACTCCCTCGGCCACGGCATGTTTGACTCCATGTACAGCGCCGTTCTCAGAAAGACATCCATCTCAATGTCCAACATGTCTGACACGTCAGATATAGGAAGTGACATCGCAACTGATATCCAATCACAAGAGGGGCTATTCACGGATCATTTGACACTTCCGGAAAGACCAGTTATGGAAAACAAGAAGCAGCCCTACCACGATCGGGACCTCGATTTGAACTGCATGAAGTTACCACCTCTGGATAATGTTGATAAACTTTTGAAATCCGACATTTGTGAAACCGATGATGGCAGAAGTCAGTTTCAGTCCAGTGCCAATGGACATAAAGTTGCATTTCTTGATTCGGTGGGGAGCGGAAATATTCCTAGAATTGAAATATCGTAATTTGCTCATCATTTTCCACCCGCCGAAAGCATTCGAGAACATGAACTACGATGTAAGCCAACCTGACGCCATGTCTTTTTCAACACATTTTCGGCGTTTTACAAACTTCGATTTAACTAAACTGCCGGAAAGAGCAAATATATACCCATGTTTGATGGAGGCTTTAAATTAAACAAACAAGAAATGGTCATTCGATGGTGATGTATTTGAAACGGGTATGATAGTTATGATTTTCAATTTTTCGGCAACCGTGTTGTGCAGTGTTTCGGCAACCGTGTTGTGCAGTGTTTCGGCAACCGTGTTGTGTAGTGTTTCGGCAACCGTGTTGTGCAGTGTTTCGGCAACCGTGTTGTGCAGTGTTTCGGCAACCGTGTTGTGCAGTGTTTCGGCAACTGTTTTCGGCCTGCTAACGTTTTGATACTGTTTGTAACAGTTGGATCAAATCCAATTTACAAGTGTATATTTACTTTTTCCCAGCAGTTTATCAGTGGTATTATTAAAATCTTACAAACCTTTTTTTATATAGATAACTGTAAATATTTTACAATCCGAGTTTTAGCAACGATTTAAAGAATTAAGGAAACTAGAATAGCAATTGTACATTCACTTTTATTCCTTTTATGTTTTTATTGTTTGTATCACACACATCCTGAGTTTCCATGTTTTTTTCATATCCATATAACCATCTATCCACTATTAGTATAGTGACGACCGCTTCCTGTGAATGTATGAAAATGGAACCTCTTGTTCGGAAACTAAGACGTCAAGTGAGACTGATGCAACGGAGAACAAAATACTATGACCTTCCTATACGTTAAGTGTAGCACCAGCATTACGTCAAATGTTGCTTTATCATACGCATTTGACTTGTCTTGTTCATGATGTCACATACAGTATAATCTGTCTCGATTATCTGACGAAACAGATCTTATTGGGCGTAAAAGGTTATATTAATGAAACTATATATAAATGGATCACTGAAAACTAGTGATTTTCTCCTACCTAAGAGGAAATGAATACGAAATTTGACACGACAATCGTAACCGGCTAAATTTATTTCTATGTTCTATTCCCGACAAGTAAAAGCTACCTAAGTCATCGAAATGGTTCTGAATCTCAGAGGGTGGCACGGGTTGCCCAGTCGTCTAAGGCGCCGCAATTCGCTGTGCAGAGTTGCGTCCTTTAGGCATGCCAGAAACCTATGACTGTGGGTTCGAATCCAGGTTCACCTCGATTATATTTCTAGGTTTGTCAGCACAAATAGAGCATACAGCTTTAATAGGTTTACTTCCCTCAGTGCTGGCCAAGGTGACCTATGCCGTTTGCATTAATCCCTAGAGAGTTTGTCATAACTCTTTTCTAATAGGGGGCACGGGTGGTCCAGTCGTCTGAGGCGCCGCGATTCGCTGTGCTGCGTTGCGTCCCTTGGCCACGCCAGAAACCTTTGATTGTGGGTTCGAATCCCGGTTCGCCCCGATTATGTTTCTATGTTTGTCAGCACCATACCCGTGCTCGTGGGTTTCACCGAAGCTGTAAACGTCTGAGACCTGCATCACATCGGGCTTCCCTCCCACATTAAGCTGACACGCCGTGATATAACTGGATGACTGCGTGTCACCGTATCCAAAACGTGGGGATCAAGTGCTCACACTATCGATCACTGGATTTGCTGATTCAGACATGACCGCCGTAATATAGCTGGAATAGTGCTGTGTGTGGCGTTAAGCAACAAAGAAACCGCATTCTTAAGCAACTTATTCTGCATACCGTTTTTACCAACCACGATGTATTTTTTGTGGCTGGCCTTTTTATTTGTTATTTTTTTGGACGATTTATTTTTGTAAAATGGTCCATCTCTCCTGCGTTCTAGAAACCTGTGTTCGTGGGTTCGCATCCGATATTCGCTCTGATTATGTTTCTAGGTCTGTGAGCACCGTATCCCTGATAAACTAAAACTACACACTCAAATACTGTTTATAGTTGCACAACTCACTCACTTGTTCTGGGATGCCCCTGGTTACTATCTAACAAAAATAATATTGGTTATGACAAGAAAATAATACAATTTGTGCATATAATGCACATAACAAGAATAAGATGTTTGTAAAAATCCGTTGTGAACGATGTACATGCATGACAATAGCGCATGTATACCATTATATTTTTGAGAGGCATTACCAGCTTCTGTACAATTGGTACGACCGTAAAATGAAACTCAATATCAAAGTTAAGTAGCTCACATAATATATATGACAACACTTCACAAACTGCCTTGACAATCATTGGATGTTTAAGGGGCGGTCGGTTGGCCTAGTGGTTAAAGCGTTCGCTCGTCACGCCGAAAACCCGGGTTCGGTTCCCGACATGCGTACAATGTGTGAAGCCCATTTCTGGTGTCCTTCGCCGTGGTAATGCTGGAATATTGCTAAAAGCGGCGTAAAACCATACTCACTCAGCCACGCACTGGTTGTTTAACTGTCACTGTTTAAAGAAATCTCTAGAATACTCAATACGTCGAAATCGAATATTAGATTAATGCGTATGTAAAGTTATATAATGTAAGCCATAATATATATTTTTATGATGAGATAATAGGCGATGGGATAAAGTGTTCGCTTGTCACGCTTAAGGCCAGGTTCGATTCCCACACTGGTACAGTATGTGAAGCCCATTTCTGGTGTCCCCCGCCGTCGTATTGCTGGAATATTGCTAAAAGCGGCGTAAAACCGTCCTCACTCACTCATGACACGATTCATATTTTCAACTTATCAATATACTTACGGGTATGAAATTAAAATGAGTAAACAGTCTCAGAAAAAAACAGCCTGCGACGCAAACACTGAACTGTTTTATTACAAACTACATGTTGCACATTTTTAGCATTATTACAACCGAAGTATATCGGGAGTATCTACCACAAAATTAAATTGAAATATTTAATTGTTAGGTAATCAGGAAGAACATACACTTATAACGTAATGATAAGTAGAGTAGATGCATGTCAAGCACATTGCCAGCCGTCCAGATGTTCCACTTCATTATTTTTACAGGAGGCTAGAGAAGAGCGTATGAAGCTCTGAAATCTATCCCTTGATGAATCCGTCCATATTCACTGTATAGATTCTGTTTGAGTAGAACTAGTGTATATACAAATGTAAATAAATTCGCATTGCAATAGTTATTAATGCGCATTTCACGGTGCTATGACGATAACGGTAACGATGTATTGTTGATGCATTTTGTGCCTTTTAAAAATATGCTATTATTCATATAGACTATCAAAATATTGTTGAAGCATTTATGTATGGTACTTTAGAAAACTGCAATAATTACATGTGCGTGTTTGCGCATGTTTTAGACATTCCCGTCCTCAATGTCGACCTTCAACAACAAGGATATGTAGATATAAAGTCTACATTATTGATATGAATACTGCTACGACTGTTTTCAATGTCAGGTCTGTAATGCTACCTGTTGTATATAACATACTGATGTGAATGTGGCATGTCTTGAATTAAAATTGGGTGTTTTAAAGAAAGTTGAATTGTTTTCAACCTCAATACATGACACTGTTTTATAGATAACAATTTCTTTATTCTTTGTATCGACGTTTCAGGGCTAATTCTTGCCCCTTGTTCAGGTGAGTTTCAGGGCTATTTCTTTCCCCTTCTTCATGTGAGTTTCTGGGCTGTATCTTTCCCCTTCTTCAGGTGAGTTTCAGGGCTCTTCTTTCCCCTTCTTCAGGTGAGTTTCAGGGCTATTTCTTTCCCCTTCTTCGGGTGAGTTTCAGGGCTATTTCTTTCCCCTTCTTCAGGTGAGTTTCAGGGCTCTTCTTTCCCCTTCTTCGGGTGAGTTTCTGGGCTACTTCTTGCCCCTTCTTCAGGTGAGTTTCAGGGCTACTTCTTGTCCCTTCTTCAGGTGAGCTTCAGGGCTAGATCTTGCCCCTTCTTCAGGTGAGTTTCGGGGCTACTTCTTGTCCCTTCTTCGGGTGTGTTCAGGGCTACTTCTTGCCCCTTCTTCAGGTGAGTTTCAGGGCTACTTCTTGCCCCTTCTTCAGGTGAGTTTCAGGGCAACGTCTTGCCCCTTCTTCGGGTGAGTTTCAGGGCTACTTCTTGTCCCTTCTTCAGGTGAGTTTCAGGGCTACTTCTTGTCCCTTCTTCAGGTGAGTTTCATGGCTACTTCTTGCCCCTTCTTCAGGTGAGTTTCAGGGCTACTTCTTGTCCCTTCTTCAGGTGAGTTTCAGGGCAACGTCTTGCTCCTTCTTCAGGTGAGTTTCAGGGCTACTTCTTGTCCCTTCTTCAGGTGAGTTTCAGGGCTACTTCTTGCCCCTTTTTAGGTGAGTTTCAGGGCTACTTCTTGCCCCTTCTTCAGATGAGTTTCAGGGCTACTTCTTGTCCCTTCATCAGGTGAGTTTCAGGGCTACTATTTGCCCCTTCTTCAGGTGAGTTTCAGGGCTACTTCTTGCCCCTTCTTCAGGTGAGTTTCAGGGCTACTATTTGCCCCTTCTTCAGGTGAGTTTCAGGGCAACGTCTTGCCCCTTCATCAGGTGAGTTTCCGGCCTACTTCTTCTAAGAAATAGCCCTGAAACGTTACAAAGACCAAAGAAGTTATTCATACAAAATGTGTCATATATTCATGCTCTTCCTAATTCTAAATGCCAATATGTTACTGCATTTATAGACCCGTGAAGATCCGGGGTAGAATAGGTCTTCAGCACCTCACGCTTGACGTAAAAGGCGACTATGTGTATGCTTGTCGTTAGAGGCGACTAACGGGATCGGGTGGTCAGGCTCGCTGTCGTGGTTGATGCATGTCATCGTAATTGCGTGGATCGATTCTCATGATGTCAATCACTCGATTATTTACAGACCGCCGTCGTATAGCTGGAATATTGCTAAGTACGACGTAAACCAACCATCAAACAAACTGCATTTATATGTTTATATTATGGACCAAATGACTCTCTAGTTTATATCACCTTCAAAGTCGCCCAAGCTGTCGAGGATAAATACTGGTTACGCCAATTCAGTGAAACAAATATTAATGCATGTACCTTCTATAGGAAGTGACATGTGACGTGTTGTTAGTGCTCCATCGGCCACTTGTAATTGCAAATGATATTTCTTTCACATAATCAGAATTATAAAACTGATTTTAATCAAGCTCTTTAAGAACAAACTGATCTTAAGTGTGTTTTTAAGTTCGCTTTCTGTTTTCATTATCATTATTTGTTGGCCATGTTGCGTCTGTTGTGTCACAATGACTGACTTGTGTTAACCAAAGACAATGTAATTATTTGAAAACTTGCATTTCTTTTATTGACATTTACACGGGTTGATTGTGATGGTATACAAGGAAGTGAAGGTGAAGTGTCCTTGGGTATTTTATGTACATATGTTTGCGGAAACGGCCATTCATTAATAGTGATCACTGAAGATCCAGGTTGTTCTTCAGCATACGCTGCTTGTCGTAAGAGGCGACTAACGGGATCGAGCGGTCAGGCTCGCTGACTTGGTTGATGCATGTCATCATATCCCCTGTGGGTAGATCGATGCTCGTGATGTCAACCTCTGGATTGTCTGGTCTAGACTGGGTTATTTATAAACCGCTGACATACAGCTCTTGAATATTGCTGAGTGCGGCGTTAACAAACCAACCAACCAACAAACAAACACATTCATTTCACTCTGATGCATTGCACGGCTGGGTACCTGCTCAGAGAACAATGGTCCAGGTGACAGCCTAGCTAATGATTAAATGATATATGAGGTGTATGCTTTAACTAACGTGCTTTTGAATAGTGTGTATCCCCACGCACGCACGAATACGGTGTTAGTGTTGGGCGTCTCATGATCATGTTGAGTTGATTGGTTCAACTGTGTCATATGGCCCTGTGACGCAGGGGTAGCATTATGCAGATGGCTGTTTCAATGAATGCTCGTTCCACCCGTGACGAACAGGTCTGATTGTTGATGAAATATAGTGATAACTAAATAGACAGACTTTTTATTCATGCACTGATTGTCTTTAAATGTAATATCCAGTTATGTATGACTGTTTAATAATCTCATACCAACTTTGACTGGAGTAGGTCCAATAGTTTTTCAGATATTGTAGTAAACGTCGGTACCTTAAATTACCTTCCAGACTATATTGGGAACGCAATTATCTCTCAGTATCATGAAGATGTATATCTCGACATAGTATTCAATGTTCAGTCTGAAACGTAATCTCTCGAATCTTCATCTTTGTCAAATATATTTGTGGCTTCAACAAGAAGGGGGCACTGGTGGCCCACTCGTCTAAGGCGCCGCAATTCGTTGTGCAGCGTTGCGTCCTTTGGGCACGCCAGACACTTATGACTGTGGGTTTGAATCCCTGTTCGCCCCAATTATGTTTCTAGGATTGTCAGCACCATACCCGTGCTTTAGGGTTTCACCGAAGTGGTAAACTTCTGAGACCTGCAACAATTAAGCTGACATGCCGTG